TCCTCCTCCTCCTCCTCCTCCTCCTCCTCCTCCTCGCCCGGGTTACACACGACCCGAACGCCGCCAGAACCCTGAGATCCCAGCGCTGCATTTTCCACGATGGGCGATTTTGCCATGCTTCGGGCCCCCGGGCCCTGACGGCCCGACCGGGCCGCAGAAGGGCCGCAGAAAGACATGCGATCCAAGGCTCCGTGCGCGGTTTTTCGCGACGTCTGGATCTCCTCGTGCGTCGGGCCTCATCAGGCCGCCTGCACACTGCACTCGCCAACGCTCGGCGGTCGGGCCCTTCCCGCCTCCTCCTCCTCTGCGGCCGCACTCTTCTTGTCCACCCGGTCTGGCGCCCGCACCGGGCACGCCATGCCGTCAGCGACACCCGCGCCCGCGGTCGGGGCCACAAGTAAGAGTGACCCTGAGGGTGACCTCTGGTGCGCGGCTTTAGGGGGCAGTGGGGGTGCCACATCCCAGCGCGCAGGCCACTGCTGGGGAGACCCCTGTGCACCTGCACTGACGGTCGCTCTGGCGAAAGGCCACTCTTACGCGGAACGGACGCGTCCGCTGGCGCCGCAGATGCAAGAAAAAGCGTCGGCCCCCGAAGAACGCCGCGGGCCTGCACCCCGCGCCGGCCGCGTCCGCCGCATGACTGCGCGGGGAAGGCCCGGGCGGCGGCGGCGGCTGGAGCCCGCCGCGGGGGCACAGGCGCCCCGGCATGCCGCCCGGGGCCGCCGCGGCGGGGCTCCGAGGCCCTCGGGCCCCCTGGCTGTAGACGGCTGTTTTCGGTTCGAGTGTTTTCCGTGCCCCTCCTCGCAGCATCCAGACTCCATGTGTGCACCTTTCATACGGTCGGGAGCCCAGACCTCCAACGTATTGAAAAATGCAAGGCGGAGGTCTTTAGTCGTTTCCGGCCGTCGATGGCCCTCGCCAAGCTCTGTGACTGTCAAACAACGACTCAGAAACGGCCCCGGGGTGTGGGCTGAGACTTCCGGGGATCGCGTATTGATAAAGTGAAGACATCGGATCCCTGAAAACTTTTGGACAACGTGTCGCGGCGGCGGCCTCGGCGACACGCTAACCCCGTCGAGCCGACAGCGTGTCGCTCCGCTCCGCGGGGCGGGAGGCTCGGGAAAGCTCGAGACGTTGACACCTCGGGACCGCGAAATGGATCGCGTGCCGCTCCTAAGCGCAGTGGGCCAGCACCGGCGGAGCGACACGCTATCCAAGAGTTCCCGACCGTATCACGTCAGCGGCAAGCTGCGCGCGCCACTGGACACGCCTCGGAGAAGGCAGCGACTGCCCCGCAGCGAAGATTCGACAACGACAGTGCGTGGCCACTCCTCAAGAGGTGAACGATCGGGATCCATCAAGGGGGGGGGTGGGGGGGCATGAGTTCGATCCGCTGGTGCACCGAACCGCCGCAAACAGATGCCCCCCGCATGCCCCACCCGTCGGCAACTATCGGGAGCTGCCTGCGGCTGGGGGCATTTGTTCGGTGCAAAAACCGATCGAAATCCCCCCCCCCCTGGGGCACACCCCACCTTTGCCGGATCCCGAAATGAGGAGCAGCTGTCTACCTGAATTGACCCGGGCAGCCTTCGTACGCAGGGCTAGGGGGCTGCAGGCTTCTGGGCCGCTCCGGGCAGCTCTCTTCGCTCGCCCTCCTCAAGGCCTTTGGCCGCGAAGATCAGGAGGTGGTGGCGCTGGTGGCCCTGCTCCAGACCAGGTTCGCCGAGGCGGCCTTGCGGCGGCGGCCGGAGCCGCGGCAGCCGCTTGACTGGCGCCGCTGGCTTGCGCCAGCGCCCTGTCGAAGAAGAGCCCGGACGTCCTCCGTCATGACTTTTTCGTCACGTGCCTCCCCAGAGGTCTGCACTCCTTCCCCGGGACCGGCTCTTCATCCCGAGTCGCTCTGTGACGGCCCGTGGGCTCGGTGAGGGTCACCAGAAGCTGACAATTGGCAAAACCTTGCGTCGTGACTTCTTTCCACAGGGGCCGCGGAGCCGACCAGCCATAACTGGGGGAGCTGTGGTCCTTGCCCCCCTGGGGGAACCCATCGCATCGACGATCTCTCGGGAGGGGTGTCGAAATCGATGGGCCCCCAGGGGGGTAAGGACCACAGCTCCCCCAGTTGTGGCTGGCCTGCGGAGGGGCTCACCACTCCGAGCAGGGATGCAGCGTGCGGGCCGCCCCACAGCGGGCAGCCCCCCCGCGGCCAGCTTGCCGCAGCCTGCCTTCGGCGAGGCGCGGCCGGCCACCGGCGAGAGAGCGAGAGCGAGGGGAGGAGGAGGAGGAGGAGGAGGAGGAGGAGAAGGAGGAGGAGGAGGAGGAGGAGGAGGAGGAGCAGGAGGAGGAGGAGGAGGAGGAGGAGAAGGAGGAGGAGGAGGAGAAGGAGGAGGAGAAGGAGGAGGCTCAGGAGGAGGCTCAGGAGGAGGAGGAGGAGGAGGAGGAGGAGGAGGAGGCGGAGGAGGAGGAGGGGCGGGAGCACATGCGGGACGGCGCGGGGGCGCGGCGGGAGCAGCGGCGTGGGGCGGAGGCGCTCGTGTCGCAGCGCTCTCTTGTTGCGGGTCGGCGCCCTCGCTCGGGCTGCTGCGGCGTGGTCAGAACTGCCCCTACAGCATCTCCTCGGCAGCCCCGTGGCTCGGCCCCGTGGCTCAAGGCCGTGGTCTCGACTGGACCGTGCGCATCTGCACTCGTCGGGCGGTTTGAAACCCGTTTTGCCCGCCCCTGCTGTATACACACGCGGCTTTGCCTCATCGGCAACCTGACATCGGTGTTACACGGGCGCCACACTTCAAGAGTGCCATCCCTTCGAGGAGCTCGTCCACTGTACGGGCTCCATCGCCGTCCAAGAGCAAGCGCGCATCACTGATACCATGGCCATGAGATGGCCATCGATGTTAGCAGCAGTTCCTCGAGTGAAAGCGCCCATGCTCATGCCGAAAACGATTGAAGAAGAGGATGGACCACGCCTCGCGCATTGTCTCCATCATCATCCGTCAGATCTGAAGCCTATTGGCCAACATGAGTTCGAACAGTGACATCATGGCAAGAGAAGGGAGCAAGGGGATGGAGGGAACGGGTGGATGATGGAGGGGAGAAAGTAGCAGCGAATATATACGACAACAACCATCGCTTCTCCACCCAAGCTGGCACCTTGAGCGGCCTGAACCGGAGCCTTCGGTAGACGAGGCGGTGGTTCACCTCCACAACCGGCTCTCTTCCTCACGGTCGTGGGCGGAGCTGCTGTCTCGCCTCCAAGAAGCACCCTGGAGATCTGGGCGTCGCGATCTGTGGCGCTCCGGGCGATTGCGCCCAGTCAGGGACTCTGGGACCCTCGCGCATCGACCAGGCCCGAGGGATGCCGCAGAAAAACGGGGTCGAGGGTTCTGGTTGTGGCTTGTGCATGCTTTTACGCTATTGCATTTTGTCGTGATGCCGCATCTCACGGTACGTTGATTGATGCTCTGCTTCTGCGTCGCTGACAATCTGCCAGGGCACGATCAAGAGAACTGGCACAGAGCGACGGGTATTCGTTTGGCCACAAAGGCAGACGCGACCAGAAGGGATGCCGAGCATGCTTCCTTCATACAGCCAGCGTTTGAGGACAAGAACGCAACCCTGTGTCGCGGGAGCACCAAGAGCGAGAGCGCAAGATGATAATAATGCGCGCAAGATCATTACCCTCGATGGCTACACAGCGCTGGCGAGGCTCTGGACTCTGGTCTAAGCAAACATGCCTCGCGCGTGCGCTGGGGTACGTCCTGACCAGCTATTCGAAGCGGATCCAGCCGTGGCGAAGAGAAGCCAGGGAGGGCCGCCGTCGTCTGGGCTGGCCCTCCTCCGAGGGAGGGCCTCAGGCCCAGAAACAAGGCGAAAGCGCAAAGTGTACACAACACTGCGAGGCCTGGGTCTCAGGGCCCGACCCTAGGACGAAGCCGCGACGACGATAACATCGGGTGGGGAGAAATCGAGAAACTCTGAGATCCCGCAGCTCTGAGGATGTCTCGGGCGCCGCGGCCTTCTCAGAGCGCTCGGGGACGCTCTGAGAGCCTTCAAGAACGCTCCGGAACAGACTTCTCTTCGTCCTAGCCCCGCCCGAAACTCCCTTCCGGCTGCCTTGTCCGCGCAGCCCTGCACGATCCCGCGCTTTCCGGCCATCTTCAGCGCGCGCACGGCCAGCGCCTCAGCCGCCCCCGCCCCTCCCGTGCTCTCTCTCTCTCTCTCTCTCTCTCTCTCCCTATTGGGGGAAAGTCTGGTGAAGACGTGTTGGTATCCGCACCGCCTCGGATCGAGTTTGAGGGTCAGCTGCTGGCCGGTGATGCTGCCGCACGTCAGTTCGCCTCTACGAAGCGAAGGTTAAGTCGGGCGTGTCCCCCTTACAGGGGGACTCTCGACCCAAAAAAAAAACTCCAAACATTTTCCCAAATGGTAAAAAAAAAGTACAAAAGATGGTTCCCGGACTATGTTTTGACCATTTTTGAATTTCCCCCCTGTAGAGGGACAGGCCCGACTTCAAGCGAAGGTCAAAATGTTCTCCGCCCCCTGGTTCTGAACCGTTTTTCTGCGGGGCCCCCAGACATCTTTGACCCACGGCCCCAGGGTTCCTGACCCTTCTCCGGGGGTAGTTGTGCCCTTCAGTCGGGCGTGTCCCCCATACAGGGGGATTTTGAACGACAAATGAAAAAGAAGACTCAACAAATAATCAGACGATGCCCAAACATACTCGAGAAATAGTGCCCAGACCATTTTTTTTCAAACTGTTTTTGAATTTTCCTCCTGTAGAGGGACAGGCCCGACTTAATTGTGCCCCGGATTCATTTTTGGTGGTCCCGGGGCCCGAAAGAGGCCCCCACTGGTCGAAATGAAAACCAAACGCTGCGATGGAACACGTCACATCGTCGTGTCTGGGTCCTTCGGGCGCCCGCGGGGCTTCCGGCACCCCTGCCGAATATCGCGCCCCTTCCTTTCCCTACCGAATTCGCTCCTCCTGGCCAGAACGACCCGTAAGACGTCGCGAGAAGGCAACCCCAAAGACCCTTGCGGAAATCCCAGGCGAGCCCAGGAGAGAGTCGACATCCCCCAAAGAGGGCCTCAAGAGGCCCCGCAAAGTTCGCCAGAGTCTTCTATGAGTAGAGGCCTCCTAGATGGGGTCCGAGTAGATGGGGTCGAAGGATCGCGCCGCATCGCCAATGCATCGGCGATGCATCGGCGATGCGTCGGCGACGTCGGCGATGCATCGGCGACGTCGGCGTGTGGAAACACGGTCTCCGCATCGAGCCGCATTGTCGATGCATCGGCGATGCGGCGGGATCCACCGACCACATCTACCGTCGGGGCGTTGACCTAAGGAACCCTAAATAAGGAACGGGGCCCCTTTCTCCCATAAGTTGAACTTCGATTTCCCGTGGAAAACCTCAGGAAAACAGAAGGCAAACTGTAGAACAATCAAGGAACACCGAGCCCCTCCCCAACGAAAAGGGTTCCTTCGTCAGGGCCCCGACTGTACTCCGACCCCACCTGGGAGGCCTAGAAGGAGGCTGCCCAGGATGCTGCCATCGTGTGCTGCCGCGAGGAGCGCCGGGCGAGGAGCCGATGGGGCCCGCCCGTGGCCACGGCGGGGCTCGGCGGCGAGCCGAGGCCCCCCCGACCCAGAGCTGAGAAAAGCGGCCCGAAGAGTGCGGCCGCGGCGCGCCCCTCCTGAGCCCACACTGGGAGCGGCGGTGGAGGGCTCTCGGCTGTCTAGGGCCGTGTGGGCCGTGTTGGGCACGACGCTCCAGGGCCGTGTTGGGCACGACGCTCCCACCGAGTTCCCCCGTGGAGAAAGCTGCAGGACCACGCCGGGAGCTGCCGCGGAAGGGCCCCGGCTGGGTCTTCGGGCCGTCTGGGGGGGGGCCCTCCTTGCCGCGGTCCTGGGCTCGCCCTCGGGCCGGCGGGCGAGAGGGGGCGGCGGGCGGACCACAGAAGTTCAGGCCGCTGAAAATCGAGTGCTAAAAAACTGCATCAGCATACAGTGGGAACCGATGCCAGGAGACACCCGGCTTGCCTCCAGGGTGCCCCGGGGTTCTTGGGTCTCGATGGTTCTGCCCTGGGCAGCGCGAAGTTCCCACACACCAAAGAATCAGTGGGCGTCATGGGGTCTCGGGGTTGGCTCTCCTGTCGAAGGCTTCCTGTGGTCGAGCTCCTACTGTAAACTTTCGACGGTCCGCGCGGATTTCTTGGATCTGCGCTGGCCCCCCTCCATGGTGCGCCGAGCGCACCAAGGACGGCGCCGGAGGCGCCGCCAAGGGGGGCCAGCGCAGAGCCAGGAAATCCGCGCTGACCGTCGAAAGTTTACAGTAGGAGCTCGACCACAAGAAACCTTCGACAGGAGAGCCAACCCCGAGACCCCATGACGCCCACTGATTCTTTGGTGTGTGGGAACTTCGCGCTGCCCAGGGCAGAACCATCGAGACCCAAGAACCCCGGGGCACCCTGGAGGCAAGCCGGGTGTCTCCTGTCATCGGTTCCCACTGTATGCTGATGCAGTTTTTTAGCACTCGATTTTCAGCGGCCTGAACTTCTGTGGTCCGCCCGCCGCCCCCTCTCGCCCGCCGGCCCGAGGGCGAGCCCAGGACCGCGGCAAGGAGGGCCCCCCCCCAGACGGCCCGAAGACCCAGCCGGGGCCCTTCCGCGGCAGCTCCCGGCGTGGTCCTGCAGCTTTCTCCACGGGGGAACTCGGTGGGAGCGTCGTGCCCAACACGGCGCGGCAAGGAGGGCCCCCCCACACGGCCCCAGGCCGAGCCGAGAGCCCTCCACAGCCGCTCCCGGTGTGGTTCTGCAGCTCCTCCTCGGGGGAACTCGGTGGGAGCGTCGTGCCCAACACGGCCCTGGAGCGTCCTGGGAGCCCGCAGAGGCCCCATATACAGAGTCAGGGCAGATCAGCGATGTGCACTCGTTGGAATCATCCTGGATGCATCCCGATGCTCGATGCTGTGCTGGCGTTGTGGTTGGACTTGCCGCAGGAAGTCACGACCCCATCTTCCCACCGCCCTTGGCCTCTTTCTGCCTGAGATCGGCGGGAGCCCCCGTGCCCCCCCTCGGGAAGCAAAGTTCGGGGTTGCTTTTGGCACCTGCCTCAACCTGGCCATCGCTCGGACGTCCATTCCCTGTTTTTTTTTCGGTTTCGTGCGTGGTTTTTTCGCCAAATGATCAAGGATGCTCCTCGATGGTCCTCGTCGAAGGAAAAATGCACACGTCCGAGCGGTGCCAAGCAACATTGAACGACGCATGGAGGAACCCCTCTCGGGATGCGCACGTCGCGGATCTGTGCGACTGTGCGCCCCTCTTCTCTGGGTCTTCCAGAACCGCGAGGGAAGGGGCTCCGAGGCGTGGGCGCGACCACAAAGAAGCACACCTCGGCTTCTCCCCTTGTTTCTGGAGCCCGTGCGGAGCATTCTGGGTTCTTGGAGATCCCGGAATCCTGGGAAATCCTGGAACGTATCATTATTATGACCCCTTGATCCTCTGCCGAATGCCCGAGGATCCTGACAAGGATCACGTCGGAACGATCCCAGACACTCCTTGCGCAGCCCCCCTTACAGACCTTGCACAGCCCTCGGCCTCCTGCTCGACGACGAGCAAGGGTCTCCCCTTGCAGGGCTCGGTGTTGCGTGCAGACAGCCCCTTGTGAACGTTTTCTTTTCTGGCGTTTCGACATTGGGCGGAGATGGAGGGGGGGGGTCTGGCTCCGGACCTCTGCTTAACGCGACTGTTTGCAACAGTGTGTCCTATGAGGGAGACCCCACCTGCTCGAAACAGGCGCCCAAAACAGCCAAGATCTACTCCATGGGCGGGGGGAGGGGGGACGGGGGCCCACGCCGATCGGCAAAACCATGAATAAGACAACGATCACCTGGGGCAGTCCAGGCTGGCCTCATGGGGGCCCCAAAAGCAACCCCAGGGGGTTCTCAACACGTCCAGCGCCGCTTCTGGCAGCGCCTTCCGGGCGGCCCAACCCAAAGCCGTAACAAAAACGGCTCATGATGAACAGCAGGCCCTCGGCAGGAGGCTGAGAGATCCCTGGGGGTCCATGTCACGAAAAGATTGCGACGGCGGAGGAGATGGAAATCATGGTCTGCAAAGTCCCCGGACATCCTCTGAACTGATTTTTTCCCAGTCTGCGGCCGCAGAGGCCCTGACCGCTTCCCAGGGGCCAATCTTTTGCTTCGGGCCCCGGGATTCGGCAACGGGGCCCAGAGGCCGAAACCGAGGAAACACGCGGCGCTTGAGAACATTTTCTCACCGAAGGTCTGGGTCTGCCAAGTCCTGGATTCTGGGGCCCCGGCTCCCCCAGGCTGCCGACGTATGTCGTGCTGCTTTCTTTCACAATGCAGATCCCCCCGAAAAAACAGGACCCCTTCTCCTGAACTGGCTTTTCATCCCGAGTGGTTTTTGACGCTCCCGGGGCCTGGCGAGGGCCCCCAGATGAGCATCGTTTAACCGATCCCCATCCCAAGCGGCGTGGCCTGGGCCCCACTGGCCGATTTACCTCCCTGGATGGGGATATAGGCCGTTCCCTTCGGGTTTCGAAGGGTGTATCCCCAATTGGGGTGGCAATGTGTCGGGGGTCTCGAAGGGGATGAGGATGGGGATGGGGGTCGGTGACACGATACTGGCCAGAGGCCGAACGTAGCAACAAAACCGTCCGTCGTAATTTTCTACCGGGGGCGCACAGACATGGATGAGCGATCCCTGGATTTGGCCCGCGGTCGCCCAAAATCCGTGGAACGGAGGAGGTGCCCTCCCCCGAATGCGGCCGGTGCCGCCTCGCTCGGCGGCGGCAATCCGCGATGTCCCATGGCAACGGGGCCCGCCGCCAATCCACGCCCCCCTTACACTCCATGCCTGCGATTGTCGGGCTCCAACGGCGCGACGGGGGGGGGGCGGGTCCCGCCTCCCCCGGCCCCCCGCGCGCGCCCGGCACCTCCCTGCAGTCGTCGTCCCCGATGGAGCCGCTCCTCGACGCGGCACCGCCGAGGTTCACGAAGACGGGGGGCGGGCCCCTGGAGGCGGGGCATCTCCGAGCGAGTTTTCGGAGGTTCTCCTCCTCCTCCTCCTCCTCCTCCTCCTCCTCCTCCTCCTCCTCCTCCTCCTCTTCCTCCTCCTCCGCCCTCCTCCTCCTCCGCCCTCCTCCCCCGCCTTCTCCACAGATCCCCCCTCCTCCACCTCCTCCTGATCCTTCTTCTCTTCCCCCCCCTCCCCCCTCTCCCTCCTGCTCCTCCTCCTGCGATCTTGTGGCCGGCCTGTCCTCAAGGACTGGAGCCATGGCGGCTCTCTCCCTCCCCAGTTCGAGCTGGGGGAGAAAGGGTGGACAATCAAATCTCTCCTCCTTCTCCTCCTCCCCCAGACGGCGAAACAATCAACGCGCCAAATGCGCGCCAAACGCGCGACGAGCACACAAACGCAAGCCCAGTGGAGACGTCAGTTACGCCCCATGGGCGCGGCGCGCCACATGCACGCCAATTCACCGATAATGGACCTTGGTGACCTCCTCCTTTTCTTAGGCAAACCATGGGGGCGAGACGCCGGAGGTGTTAGCAACGGCATGATACAGAACACATGCGAGGCAAGCAAACACAGCGCAAGAACAGAAAATGGGTATGGCGCGGCCATGCGGCTGTCATCCTGCACATCATCAAACTCCTGCTGACGGGAGTCTCCATACCTGACTCCTTCTCCTCCTCCTCCTCCTCCTCCTCCTCCTCCTCCTCCTCCCCGCGTTCACTCCTCTTCCCGCTGCCCCCTCTCTCCTCCTCTCCTCCTCTCCTCCTCTCATCATCATCATCATCATCATCATCATCATTATCATCATCATCATCATCATCATCATCATCATCATCATCATCATCATCATCATCATCATCATCATCATCATCATCATCATCATCATCATCATCATCATCATCATCGTCATCGTCATCGTCATCGTCATCGTCATCGTCATCATCATCATCACCAGCAGCAGCAGCAGCATCAGCATCAGCATCAGCATCATCATCACCATCACCATCACCGTCCTCCTCCTTCTCCTCCTCCTCCTCCTTCTCCTCATCATCATCCTCCTCCTCCTCCTACTCCTCCTCCTCCTCCTCATCATCGTCATCACTCGTTTCAGCACAACCCTCACACGCTTCGTGGCTCCATAGGGAGCCCCACCGAAGGCCCAAATGCCAGCGTTCGCATGCGGCCACCGCGCCCATTTTGGCACATCCCTCACACGTTTCGTGGCTCCATAGAGGGTCCCACCGAAGGCCCAAATGCCAGCGTTCGCGTGCGGCCACCGCGCCCATGTTGGGACACCTCTTACACGTTTCGTGGCCGCACAGGGAGCCCCACCGAATGCTCAAATGCCAGCGTTCGCATGCGGCCCCCGCACCCACTTTGGCACACCCCCCACACGTGTCGTGGCCCCACAGGGAGCCTCATCGAAGGCCCAAATGGCAGCGTCCGCATGTGCCTACTGCACTCATTTTGGCACACCCCTCACACGCTTGGTCGCCTCATCGGGAGCTCCTCCGAATGCGGTGCATACAACGACGGTGTTCACGCGTGGGTCTCATTTTCGGATCCGCGCTGTGCTACCGTCGTTCAGAATGGCGCTCCCGCCCCAGGGTGGGCCACTCTTCCGTATCCCACAGGTCCCGCTGGCCTCTCGCAAGCCCCACAAATGTCGCAGGTCGTCCCACAGGCCCAACAGGCACCACCGGTCTGACAGGTTCCAGAGGTCCCACAGGTGCGGCAGGTCCCGCATGCCCCACAGGTCCCACAGGCCCGACAGGTCCCGCAGGTCCCAGACGTGCCGTATGTCTCACAGGTCCCACAGAGGCCCCCCAGGTCCCGCAAGTCTCGCAGGTTCTGCCGGTGCCACGGGCCCCACGGGTCTCGCAGGTCTCCAAGGTCCCACAGTTCCCACAGGTCCCACAGGTCCCACAAGTGTCGCAGGTCGCACAGGTCCCACAGGCCACAGAGGTCCCCCGGGTCGCACAAGTCCCACGCGTTTCCTTGTCTCCGACTGCGCACAAAACCCGATGGGGTCCGCTGTGGCGTTCCAGGTCGGCTGTGACACGCGCCCGCGGGCAGAGGAACATCGGTGCAATGGGAAGGGATGTGAGGGAGGGATTGGATGTCAGATATGGCGCGAGCCTCCTCCTCCTCCTCCTCCTTTTCCCCATCCTCCTCCTCTTCCTCCTCTTCCTCCTCTTCCTCCTCCTGATCGTCATCTTCCTCTCCTCTCAACAATCGCCCACCGCACCTCTCCAGTGATGCGTTCTGGCTCGGATTTCGAGGCGGATTCAGCCGTGGCGACGAAAGCACCTCGAGAGGGACAAAAAGGCCCGAAACCGTGGGGGCCAACACGCTGCAAAGGCGAGGCAGTCCAGTTCTCTGCGCCAGTCTTAACTCCCAATTTATGGTTATAGATTTCCTCTGTTCTGGTTCCACTGCTTTTTGGTGCCTGGATGTTGCATAACATGTATATACAGCAGTTGTAGTCCTCGCGGTCTACACAAGGGCTTCCAGAGGCCTGAACACGAGACGAATCCGCACCGACAGTTGGAGCAGCGCTCACCCCGTCTCCTGCGCGGGGGCAACAGAAGTCTCTAAGGACCACCCCTCCAGCACAGCTACCGTGTACCGCCTAGCGACCTTAAGCACGATCCTGCATCCGACGGAGGGATTGCTCGAAAGGGTCCTGCGAACCACTCCAAAAACCTACTCCGTCTGATGCACCTCACGACGCTGGGATGTCACTAGATCTGGCGAGCTGCAGGTGGGCTGATTCTGGCTCTGGTGCGCTCCCACCGATCGATTGTGCCGACCTCCCTCGGCTTGCGCGGAAGGGCAAAACGCCGAGACCCCAGTGCCGCTGTCTTTTGGTGCAGGGTTACCTCCTGTCACCTTCTTGAGTTTTGCCAGGATGTGTTTGCCAGTGTCGGAACTGTCCAACTGGGCCTCGCAGGCCGTCAGCCGCTTGACGACCTCATCCCAGTGCTGCCCCCGGGAGCGCTTGACGACGCATTGAGCCGTACAGTTTTCAAATGATTGAAGTCCGCGCGAGGGGGGGAGCCCGAACATCAGTCGATTCCTGCTACAGAATCACGCCCTGGGGCACAGTAGTTTCGGCAGGTTCGCGTTCTCGAGGCCACATTCCCGCGTAACTTGCATCATGTTACGTAGCGTTGGCGCTCCCGAGGTCAACGCCTTGTGACTTGTAGCGGGCTCGCGCTCCCGAGGAATTGGTAAACGGCGGCGCGTTCGCGCTTCCGACAGCACAACCCTGTGTGCACTACGACAGGCTCGCGTCCCTGAGGCCGCACCCCCTGAGCACACTCAAAACGGACTGGCTCGGGCGGGAGCGGCCAAGAGGGGGGTGTCCAAGAGGGGGGGGGGGGGGGCGCAAATCCGCCGACCCTGTCGGCGTGTGTGAGGGGCTTTTCCGTTCGAGCCGTCATCTCCGTGATTCTTTGTACTCGTCGTCTCTGTCCTTCCCTTTCCCTGGGAGACCTCTTCCCCTGGGCTCCAGCCAAGCCGACCTTGAGCAACCTCGTAATTGAGTCGAAGGGAAGCCCCTTCCCTTTGATCCCTCCCCCGCCGGGAGGGGGGGGGGGTAGCGACCCCCCCCCCGGGTCAGATACGACGCCCCCCCCTGGGACTCCTCTTCCCCTGGGCTCCAGCCAAGCCGACCTTGAGCAACCTCGTAATTGAGTCGAAGGGAAGCCCCTTCCCTTTGATCCCTCCCCCGCCGGGAGGGGGGGGGGGTAGCGACCCCCCCCCCGGGTCAGATACGACGCCCCCCCCTGGGACTCCTCTTCCCCTGGGCTCCAGCCAAGCCGACCTTGAGCAACCTCGTAATTGAGTCGAAGGGAAGCCCCTTCCCTTTGATCCCTCCCCCGCCGGGAGGGGGGGGGGGGTAGCGACCCCCCCCCCAGGTCAGATACGACGCCCCCCCCTGGGACTCCTCTTCCCCTGGCTCCAGCCAAGCCGACCTTGAGCAACCTCGTAATTGAGTCGAAGGGAAGCCCCTTCCCTTTGATCCCTCCCCCGCCGGGAGGGGGGGGGGTAGCGACCCCCCCCCCGGGTCAGATACGACGCCCCCCCCTGGGACTCCTCTTCCCCTGGGCTCCAGCCAAGCCGACCTTGAGCAACCTCGTAATTGAGTCGAAGGGAAGCCCCTTCCCTTTGATCCCTCCCCCGCCGGGAGGGGGGGGGGTAGCGACCCCCCCCCCCGGGTCAGATACGACGCCCCCCCCTGGGACTCCTCTTCCCCTGGGCTCCAGCCAAGCCGACCTTGAGCAACCTCGTAATTGAGTCGGAGGGAAGCCCCTTCCCTTTGATCCCTCCCCCGCCGGGAGGGGGGGGGGGGGTTAGCGGGGGGGGGGTAGCGACCCTCCCCCCGAGTCAGATACGACGCCCCCCCCCCGTACCGACCTTGAGCAACGTCGTCATTGAGTCGAAGGGAAGCCCCTTCCCTTTCCCTTCCCCGACGGGGGGGGGAGAGGAGGTCCCGGGGGGGGTCCCGGGGGAGTCCCGGGGAAGTCCCGGGTCAGATACGACACCTCCCTCCCCCACCTTCTCGTCCTTCTCCCCGTTCCCCCAAACCATCCCACAGCCCGTGCCTCTTGCTGCGCATTGCGAACAGGGTCGGCGGCACCGGCCGTCAGGCCTTCGCAAATCATGACTGGCGGCATGTGCGCGGCCCAGCGGGGGGGGGGCAGGGACGTAATGAAATTCGCCGGCCCAACGGGCCAGGGCGTGCTAAGATCTCCGGTACCTGGTTAACAGTATTTCTAGTTCGCGCGCGCGGGGCGGCCCCTGGGGGTCCCCGGACGAAAAGTACCCCGGCAAGGTCCCGGCAAGTCCCCGGCAAGGTCCCGGCAAGGTCGGGTCAGAGATGCCGGAGTTCTGTTTCGGAGTCCAAGAGGGCTCCAGATCGGTCCAAGAGGGCCCCGAGAAGCTTTCTAGACGGTCCAAGAGAGGCCCGAGACGGCCAAAGATCGCCCGAAGACGCCCCAGATGGCCCCAAGACAGCCCAAGAGGCCTCCAAGACGCTCCAAGGGCCTTCCAAGAGGCCTCCGAAGAGGGCCCCAAGTTGCCAAAATCGTTGATTTTCATTGGTTTTTTCGATGTTTTTTTGCGTTCTGGCCTTTTCGCTTCCGGACGCTCCAAGAGGGCCCAAGAGGCCTTCAAGACTGCTCCAAGACGGCCCACGAGGCTCCCAAGACGGCCCCGGAGCGGCCCAAGAGCGCCCCCCAGACGGCCCAAGTGCTGCCCAAGGCGGACCAAGAGGCCCCAAGACGGGCCCAAGAGGGGCTCAAGAAGGGAACCGAGAACTGAAAAATCGAGCCCTCCGCCCCAGAAGGCGCCCAGGACCCCGAAAGAGGCCCCAAGAGACTCTCCAAGACACCCCCAAGACGCCCCAATAAGCTCCCGTGAGGCCCCAAGAGGACCAACAACGTCAGGCCCCAGGCCCCAAGAGGACCAACAAATACCGCCAAGAGCCCGCCGAAAGCCCCCCAAGAGACCGTCACGAGAGCTCAGGAGGCCCCCTGGAGGCCTCCCGAGTTCTCCAAGAGGCCTAAAAAGAGGCGCCAAGAGGCCCCAAACGGCCCCACCGAGGCTCCAAGAGGCCACGAACGCGCAAGCAAACGCCTGCGATGGCACAATACGGGCCGGCGGAATGAGCGAAGCGATTAAATAAGAAGAGGCGCCATGAAATCTGGGGAAACATCATGGCCCCCGCCATGATATCCCCCCCCCCCCTATTCATCACCCCCCTCTTTCCCGCCCCCGATTGGCGCTCCCGAGGCCGCACCCCATGGGGCACCGCGATGGCCATCGCGCTCCCGAGGCCACAGTCCCTTGCAGGCCGCGCCGCCGTCGCGGCCACGGGGCCGCGCGCCCGACCCGCGGAGGCTGGCCAGGGGCGCCAAGCCCTTCTTCTCCGGGGCGCACGGCAGTTCTCTGGCACGTGTGTTCGGGGGGCATCCGCCTCTGAGTGCCCCCCCCCCCGTCCTCCCGCCCCCTTCGCGGCGGCCCTGACTGCCTCCGTCTCCCCTCGTGCACGCAGGGCCACTCGCTCTTCGGTCGCCCTGTTTAGCCCGACCGCTGGCGCTGAGCGCAGCAAGCGTTCGGGGGGCGCTTTGCGCCCCGCCGTTTTCTGAGCATTCGGCTCGAGCCCCGAGGCCACGACGCCCTAACCATGAGTAAGGATGCGCGCTCCCGAAGCCGCGAGCCCTCGTACATTACAATCGGAACACGCTCCCGAGGCCACAATCTCGAATCAATTGTTACAGGCGCGAGCAAGCAGCTAGCCAGCACACGGCCCAAATCAACTACCAACCTGCCGATCAGGCGTGGCCGAACAAGCCATCTGAGTGGGTGCCGCCAGCAGAGGGCGAAGTACACACATAGACACACATCTCTTTTATGCAAGTGAACTTCGAGATTCGAGCCTTCCTCCTCCCTCCTCAGTCCTCCTTCGTCCTCCTCCTGCTCCACCCTCCCTCTCTCCTCGTCCTCCTCCTCCTCCTCCTCCTCCTGCTCCTCCTCCTCCTCCTAGTCCTCCTTCTCCTCCTCCTCCTCCTCCTCTGCCCCTCCCCCGCCCCCTTCCCACTTCTCCACTTCTCCTCCTCCTCCTCCCTTCCTCCTCCTCCTCCTCCTCCGGCTCCTCCTCCTCCTGCTGCTGCTCCTCCTCCTCCTCCTCCTCCTCCTCCTCCTCCTCATCCTCCTCCTCCTCCTCCTCCTCCCTGGAGGTTATCCCAGGGCAGCGAGCGCGGGGCGGCTCGCCTCGCCAGGAAGTCCTCCAGCTCGGTCAGGCGGTCCCCTGACCCCATGCCGCCGCCGCCGTCGCCATCGCCGTCGCCGTCACCGTCGAAATCGTCGTCGTCGTCGTCGCCGTCGTCGCCGGCGTCGTCGTCGTCGTCGTCGTCGTCGTCGTCGTCGTCGTCGTCGTCCTCTTCAGAGGAGGAAAGGGGGCACGAGGAAGAGGAGGAGGAGGAGGAGGAGGAGGAGGAGGAGGAGGAGGAGGAGGAGGAGGAGGAGGAGGAGGAGGAGGAGGAGGAGGAGGAGGAAGGGGGCATGATGATGACGACGATGATGATGTTGATGATGATGATGATGATGATGATGATGATGAGGAGGATACTAACCATGCTGATGATGATGATGATGATGATGATGATGATGATGGTGATGATGATGATGATGATGATGATGATGATGATGATGATGATGATGATAAAGCTGATGTGATGATGATGCTGATGCTGATGCTGATGCTGATGAGGATGATGATGATGCTGCTGCTGCTGATGATGATGCTGATGATGATAATGCTGCTGCTGCTGCTGCTGCTGTTGATCATGCAGATGATGCAGATGATGATGCTGATGATGATACAGATGAGGATGATGATGAGGATGATACTGATAATGACAATGCTGCTGCTGATGATGATGCTGCTGCTGATGCTGATGAAGAGGAGGAGGAGGAGGAGAAGGAGGAGGAGGAGGAAGAGGAGGGGGAAGGTGCGAGGAGGAGGAAGATGTGGAGGGCTCGAAGAGGAGGAGAAGGAGGAGGAGGAGGCCCAGGAGAGAAGGAGGACGAGAGGCGGAGGAGGAGGAGGAGGAGGAGGAAGGAGGAGGAGGAGGAGGAGGAGAGGCGAGGAGAGAGGAGGAGGAGGAGGAGGGAGGAGGAGGAGGAGGAGGAGAGGAGGAGGAGGAGGAGGACCAGGAGGAGGAGGAGGAGGAGGAGGAGGAGCAGGAGGAGAAGGAGGAGGAGGAGGATGTGTTTGACCTCCGCGGCCAAAGATCCTTCGGAGGGGCTGATTGCTTATCAAAACACGCGAGCAGGAACACTGCTCGCGAGAGACACACATTCCCTCTGAACCTCGAAGCCCCGTAAGGGTGCGGCAACAATGGTGCCTCACACGCATGCGCACGTGCGACGCACCACGAAGAACGCCCGTGCAAAACGCGCAAAAACACATCACATGTGGGACCTATGGGCGGGCCAACCACACGGAACCAGGACCCCTGCCATGGGGGGTGGGGGGACCTGCGACCAGACGACTAAGGCACGTGTGGCCAAGGTCGGATGACAGGAGACACGGCGCAGCGGGCCCGGGTGTTGACGTGCCGGGTAAGGTAGGGGAAGAGGCCAATCCAATATCGGCCCGGCTCGCCACAAGCTGGGCACTCGTGCCTGCGCGGCCAGAACAGACTGTCAGCTGGAAGGGCAGTGATGCCTGAGGATGCAACACCACAAGCACCACGAGCCTACACGCTGAGAGGCGGGCAGCGCCAGCTATCTGAGTCTCCCGATTCGATAGAGCGGGTCTGGCTCCCCGGGGGCGGCGCACCAGGGGAGCCTCGTCTTCTTCCTGCCCGCGAGCCCCTCTGACTCTGGCAAAGCGGGCTGGGCTCCGCTACAGCGGCCGCAGGGCCGCCGGGAGAGCAGCAAGACGCGAGAGGCTTCTTCCTCAGCCTCGGAAGGGGGGGGGAGGGGAAGGAGAAAAGCACGGGCTAGGAGAGGAGGAAGAAAGACATGGGAAGGGCTCGATGCGTCCATGGCATTGGGGCTCCTGACAACCGTGTGCCGCCCTTGCAACCTCGTGGTCCGCATTCCCAGAACCCCGACGTCATGATTTTTTCATGACGTCGACCCCCAGAGGTTTTGGACCCATTCCCCAGGACCGGTTTTTCCTCCAGAATCACTGTTTGACGGTCCCGAGGCCCGGTAGGGGCCCCCAACAGCCGCAAATATGGAAAAACCGTTCGTCGTGATTTCTTCATGACCCGAGGGGGTCTGGGCTGTCAAGTCGCCGCTTCCTCCGGGGCCCCGGCCTCTGCGGCCTGGCTCGGTGCCGCTTCTCTCCTGCACATCGCTGCCATCGAGAGGCCACGCGCGGAGCCAGGCGCCCGGGGGCAGGAGGGGCGCCAGGAGGAGGAGGAGGAGGAGGAGGAGGAGGAGGAGGAGGAGGAGGAGGAGGAGGAGGAGGAGGAGGAGGAGGATGAGGGGAGGAGGACCAGGAGGTGGAGGAGGAGGAGGAGGAGGAGGAGGAGGAGGAGGAGGAGGAGGGAGGAGGAGGAGGAGGAGGAGTAGGAGTAGGAGGTGGAGGAGGAGGAGGAGGAGGAGGAGGAGGAGGAGGAGGAGGAGGGGAGGAGGAGGAGGAGGAGGAAGAGGAGGAGGAGGAGGGGGAGGAGGAGAAGGTGGGGAAGGGGGAGGGGGCGGAGGGGGCAGCGCCTTGAGCGTCTGCGTCTCCCTTCTTGCGCTTCTTCGCGAGCCTGCCCGCCAGACTCGATGGCGGGCAGGGTCGGTCTGGAGGTCCCTCAGGGTCGGACATCTCGCTGAGGAGGGCTGCTGACTCCAGGGTCGACATCTCGGTCTGGTACTTTTCGAGATCTGCCCTGGGGGGGCCCATGGCTTGTTCGATCGCCTTCTGCAAGACGGCATTGGCTGCTGCTGACCTTCCTTCGGCGATCTTCCTATCTGAATCTTGGAGTTCGACGCCTTCCAGGAGCTTGCCGAACAACAAGACAACTGCATCTGGAAACCCTCATGGAGAGCTGCGCCGATGTCCACCACCCTGTGGCCCAAGAACTGGTCTCTGGGCTCTAGGCGGGATGGCCTTCTGTGCTGCTTCCACTTCCGCAGCGGCCGCCGCGACCAACCTCTTGGTGGCTTCTACAGTGCATTGCTGGCTCGCTGGTGCACGAGTGCGAGCCCAGAAATGCTGCGCTTTTCAAAAGCCTTTTTCGCACGACCGACCCTTGTGGATGCCTGCCGGATCACCGCTGCTGGTCGTAACTGTTGTGGTGGCGGTGGCTTGAGAGCCATGGCCTCCAGCAACTCCTTCGCCTTGGACTGCTGTGTTGGATCTGGACTTCCAACTGCCAGGGAACGGATAGCCACCTGCAGGCGTGACAATTTGTCCTGGTCCTGCAGGGTGCTCGCATCACGCCCGTGCCCTCGTCGCTCCTGTCCGTGTAGCTTCTTCCATTGCCCTTAGCTCCACTCGCCCTCGAACGTCGCCCCGCAGATGCAACGGTCTCCCACTTGCTGGAGGCGATCAGCGTACACGTAGCTCCGGCACTCCTCGAAATAGACCTTCCAGCGGCGCTGCTGCTTCTATCCAGTCGGCTGCTTGACCAAAGGCTGACGTCTCCATGGCGGGCGAATGGCCATAGCATTCGGGAGTGGGCCTGATGGCCTTGTAACTTCTGAAATGCCATCGTTGGAAAGTGGTTGGGGTCGCGAACCCCTGGCCAAGAAGAACTCTTGCCCGATCTTACTGGAAAAGGGGGGCCTGGGGCCTGCCGCACAGCTGCGCGCAAGCTCGAAGCCTCGCGGCACAGGCTTCGAACTGGAGCCAAGCTGGCGACGGAAGAACTCGAGGGACAACGCCGCGATAAAAAAAAAAATCATCCTGTCGGAGGTCTGGCCCCCGGGAGGCCAGCCCCTGTGCGCCTGCGTCGGCACGGGAAGACGAAGCCGCACGGGACCGGCTGCGCCGTGCTGGACAGCAGCGACGCGCAAGCATCGTGCCGCACCAGACCTCTTGAGCATCGAGATCGACTCGGATCGAAAAGGCCCCGGACTGCGGCTGTCGGGTCATACCTCGGGCCTCTGGCGGCCGCTCGGGACGATCCCGGCAACCTCGGGACGCTCTCGGCGACGCTCCGCTGCCGGAGCGCCGCCCAGGCCGAGACAAATCTCGGGCAACCGGCCAACACGTCCGCAACCTCGAACCGTGAAGCCTCGGACCACCGACTCTGAGATCCTCCTCCTCCTCCTCCTCCTCCTCCTGGTCCTCCTCCTCCTCCTCCTCCTCCTCCTCCTCCTCCGGCCCCCCCCCTGGGGTGACCCCTCCTCCGAAGTACGGGTTCTGGCTGGCCAGCAGCTGCATCTCCTGCTCCGCGGTGGGCAACCACGGCCCCGTGGTATGCACCCCCGTGGTGGCCGTGGGGGGCGGCCTGCGGTCCCGTGCCGCAGCGGCCGGCGCCCACTGCTCCCCGCCAATTTTCCCCAGCTGACCTGTGCTCGCGCATCTCCGCCGTCCTCTTTGCTTCTGAGTAACTCCTCCCTGTGGCACCCCGAAGCGTGTCGGTAGGGCGGGCCGGGCGTTTTCCCTGAGACCTCCTCACCACTCATGACCCTGAAGCCGAAATCTTGCAGTAGTTTCACGGATGGAGGTGTGGCTCTCGCTTATGCGCCGCGCAAATTCGTACCACATTATTGCAAGGGTCTCGCGGATGGAGGGCGGGCCGTTTTCAAAAGTGGCTCTCACCTTAGCGTCGCGCGCACTCGTCTCAAAACATGAAAGTTTCACGGATGAAGGGCGGGCCGTTTTCAACATGCGGCTCTTGTTTTAGCGCCGCGCGCATTCGTTGTCAACGTAGTTATGCAAACGTTTCACGGATGGCGGGCTGGACGTTTGAACAAACATGTGGTTCCCGCTTTAGCCCCGCACGAAATCGTCGTAAGAGTGTACAGCTCTTTCAAGGATTCTCATGGCTGCCGTCCCAGAAATGTTGTTCGCTTGCGTGATGTAAGACTGTCAGAGCGCAACAATTACGTTGATTTGCGGGGTTGAAATCCCAGGGACGGTGCTCTGGCACGGATCAGGATTTCCAAACGGTTCTTTCAATCGGGGCCCTTCCCTCGGTGACAATGAATCCTTGTAGAAACCTGTGAAGAGGGAGCTTGGGGGGAGGGTTTCTTGCAACATCGTTGATGCGTTTTGGGTTTGCAGTGGCCTTCCTCCTCCTCCTCGTCTTCGTCCTTCTCCTCGTCGTCCTCTTGCCACCTGTCTCCTGGCCTCCCCCCTTCCGTGGACGCTGTCGATACCCAGCGCCAGCAGCCCCCCGCCAGCTTTTTGCTATGCCTTGAGTTTCGCTTGCTCTTTGCTGTTCTTTCTCCAACCGATGCCTGCACTTGGGGGTTTGTGCCTCTCTCCCTGGAACTCGCCATCGCTCGGACGTCCATTCCCTGTTTTTTTTTCGGTTTCGTGCGTGGTTTTTCGCCAAATGATCAAGAATGCTCCTCGATGGTCCTCGCCAAGGAAAATTGCACACGTCCGAGCGATGCCAAGCCTCTCCCTCTGGAAGGAAATTGGACGGTATGCCGGGGCTTCGGCTGGTGCCGGGCTGGTGGTCGCCCGCGGGGCGCCTCGTGGGCGCCCCGCGCGGGACGGTCATGCCGAGGTGTCGCCTGGTGCCCGCCCGGTGGGGGTCGCACGGGCGCCCCGATAGCGTGCACCGCGCAGACTGCACCGCGCAGCCTGCACGACAGAGATTGCACCACTTCTGGCAGCTTGCAGCTGCATAGCTTGCGCGACGTAGATTTGTCCCGTCAGAAGAAAGGGCCCCCCTGCCCCCCAGAGGTTCTCGATTCCCCGTGGGATAATACAGTATACATCTGATTCTGCCCTATCGTTCAATTCTCCGAATGAAACTCATACCTTCATAACCTGACTGGGCATCGACCTCTCCCTTGTCATCCCTGTAAAAATGCCAGACGCGGGCACTTTGCAGATTCCTTGCCCGCGCGGTTGGCTAGAATCACTCCATAACCATTTGTGTTTATCGATTTCGTTTAAACCCACATTCCCATTTCACCACGCGGTGCATCCACGCTGATTGACATGCGCCCGGTGCACGGATCCGTATCACATACAAAAAACACATGGGGGGCCACACGCGCGCGCCGCCACGCGCGCGTGTCGAAATCCTTCCGCCGCCATGGGTTTAGGGAACATTTTGAGACTGAACTTTTGGAGAACATGTGCACGTAACATGAATTTCAACAGCAAGTATGCCACATGACTTGCGTTTCCGCGCGCGCAGTTCTTCACCACCACCTATATCAGCGCCGCCGCTCCACTGTCAATATCGTCATCGCCGAATCGCCGCCTTAATCCACCGATCACCTCCATTACTGGCACATGGACATCGTCATCGTCATCGTCATCGTCGTCACATTGGTCGGCACCGTCATTGGCATAACCGTCGTCCTCGTCATCGTCGCCACCATCGCCAATATTATTCCTTAATTAGTGCTTGCGCTGAAGGGGTCCTAGCGGATATTGAATGATTTGGCGAAAATTCCGGGCCGATTTCGGTGGGCGGCGGGGTCCCCGGGTTCCCAGGTTCCTGGTCGATCTTCTTATCGATCGGTCTCATCATCGATCTCATTACCCACCTCCTCTCTATCGATCTCATTATTGATTTCATTACCGATCTCACTATCGGACTCAGAACCGATCTAATTATAGATCGCACGAGCGATCTCACGATCGATCTCACAATCGATCCCATTGAATCGACTTCACGATCGGTCTCAATATCCATATCAATAATTCCTAACCGTCCACTGATTGGGGGTTTCTACAGTGTAATTATTTTTGCCGCCGTCGTCGACGTCATCATGAAACCACGCCCGCCCGAATCATCGACCCGCGCTGAATTGCCCGCGCGCCGCCGCGGTGTTTGAGGCGCGCTGGGAAGTTCCCGTCGGTAATCGGTATCTCGGCCGCGTCGGTTGTGCCAAATTAGCTGGCCACTCTGCGCGCGAGCTTGCGCGCGCTAGCGCAGCCGCAGGGATGCGCTACCCATTGCAAAATAGTCCTCTTGGGTGTGCGCCTCCATCGCGGCGACGACGTGCCAAGACAGAGTGCACCACGTGCACCGCTGCGCCGACAGCGGGCCGACAGATCAGCATCGATGAGATCACCGTCCTCTCCGACGCCGACCTCGCCGACCAGCAGCCCGAGTGGGTTGACAAGCAAATGCTAGCTTTTCAGGAGGACCCGCTCGTCGGAAGAGGTGCACCTGGCAAAGGCGGTCTACGAGCTCAGCGCGCACGGGGTCAGCAGGCTGAACGCATCGCAGACCATGTCTCGCAACTAACAATGGGGTTCAACAACTGCGGGGGGCATCGCAACTGTCAGGGAAGCCACCGATTGAAGGGGGCCCCGATGTTCCGCGTGAACCCAGGGCGAAGCCCCCCAAAGGGAACCACGACAAGAAGCCGATCATTTTGAAGAAGATCCACCGCCTGCTCAACAAGGTGGACCGAGATCGGCTCAAGCCTACGGCAGCACAGGTTGAGGCACAACTGCGAGCCCTCCTTGGTGATGATGCTGCTCCTACCGCGAAATGGCCCTGCTGCGGGCAGCGGCGTCCTTGTCCGGTCGGACGTATTCCACGGCGCCAGTGATCATATCTACTACGCTCGCGGAGTACGCCCGAGCTAGAAACTGGCTCGCGGTCAGTTGTGGGACTGTTGCGGCTTTTGTTGCGTTCGATCTTCCCCCCATCCATCGAGGGTGCTGCCGCTCAGGAAGTGATGGCGGTCGGTGGCGCAGGCAGCGTGCCCCAGCTCGCGCAGGTGCTCCACGCGGGCGGGGAAGCACCCGAGCCAGTTGGCCCCCCTGATGGGGGTCGAGGATGGCGCAGAGCACAGGCCGCCCGGAGTGCCGCGCAGGTCTCGCGGCTGACTTGCGTGGAGAATCACTTATCGGAAGACCTGCATGGCCGTGCAGCGCAGCGGCCCGCCTCCCTTCCGACCCCGATTTTCAACGCGGGTCTCGCGAAAGGGGCCGTCAGAACACAGGCGGCCATCAAGTACGACGGTGAGATCATCGTGCTCTTTGTCATTCAGGACAGCATGGTGCCCGAGTTCCTCGATTTTGAGTTGCCCCGGGGGATCGTGCTCAACCGTCAGCGGTCCGCGCTCATGCCGAGCTGGTTCGCTATCCGAACTGATGAGGCTCATCTAGCATACTGGGCCAGAATTGCAGCTCTCTGCCCAAAGGAAGGTCGGATCCTACGCCGACTCAGCAAGACGCACGTTGCTAGCGACCTTCGTCAGAGAAGGGCAGTTCAACGGGCACCTCCTGAATGGGTAGGTCCAGACGATCAATCATAATGGGCCGCGCAGCATGGGTTTACAAACGTTGGCTCTATTGTGCGTGCTGGCAGGCGGTCTTGGCTCTTCAGGGCGGACTAGGGTGCCGCTCAGACTCAGAGCAATCGCGTGTTTTGTTTCTCTTGTGGGGATATTGCATCACCTGCGAAGGCTCCGGCTCCTCGGGCGGGCGCAGCCAGCGAGAAGTCTACTCCAAAGGCGGCCAGTGCGCGGGGCGCGGCAGCGCCCCAGTACGTCCCTGGCGACGACGACGACGACATGGACGCGCCCCCGCCTCCACCACCTTCTGCCGGTTCCAATGATGGCGCCAAGGACGGTGCCAAGGACGGCCCCAAGGATACTCCACGCTCTCCTTCATCAGGCGGAGAACCCCCTCAGAAGCAGGCCAAAGGGGTCGCGGCACCCCCGTGGCGCGCGTACTCTGACCAGACGGACTTAGGCGGAGCAGGTGACTGTTTCTACCCTTGTGCTGGTGTTGCTTGTAATGAGTTCAAAGCAAATCCTATAGTCCACGAAGGAATCACTCCAACCTGGCGGCGAAGTAGCGAGATGCGCGCGTCTTGCTGTTGCTGCGGAGTTGGGCAAAGCTAAGCAGAAGCATGGATGGTGCGACCCAGCGGGGCATCGAGCGTGTTGGGCAGCAGGGTACTTTGGCAGATACTATGTGTGTGAGAGCGCTGGCGACGTTCATGCAATTTGACATGCGCACATGGCGCGACGCGAAGATCTCGGGCAAGGGGGGGGGGTGGACTCTCTACACTTCACCTGTGCGTCACAAGAAATCAATCTGACTTCCCCTGAAGGACAAGCGCTACGCTCTCATCAGCAAGAAAGGCGAGCTCACGCTCGAGATCGAAGCTAAGTGGCGAAGAGGAGCTCTGCCATATCCCGACATCTTCGCGGGAGGTGGACGGTCCTCTGCTGCGTCGCCGCGCTCCGCGAAGCCCCCTGCTTCCGGATATTATCTGGCGTATGCTTGGAGCCTGCTGGGAACGCCCTCGGTCTCATCGGTTCCGGAGCTGAGAAAGGCCACGTCGCTCCTGGG